GGGACACTCCACAGTGGCCCCCGCCCCTGGGACACTCCACAGTGGCCCCCGCCCCTGGGACACTCCACAGTGGCCCCCGCCCCTGGGACACTCCACAGTGGCCCCCGCCCCTGGGACACTCCACAGTGGCCCCCGCCCCTGGGACACTCCACAGTGGCCCCCGCCCCTGGGACACTCCACAGTGGCCCCCGCCCCTGGGACACTCCACAGTGGCCCCCGCCCCAGGGACACTCCACAATGGCCCCCGCCCCAGGGCGCTCCACAATGATCCCCGCCCCAGGGCGCTCCACAATGATCCCCGCCCTGGGACACTCCACAATGATCCCTGCCCCAGGGCACTCCACAATGATCCCCCACACCACCCCTTCCCCGGCTCACTTGGCTCTGATATCTTCCAGCTTCTCTTTCCGCCTCTCCTCCGCAATTTTCTTCATCTCCTCTTCCTGCAGTTTCTGGTGAATCAGCGACAGCTCCTGGCCCTGTTTCCTCCTCTGCTTCTCCCGCTCTATCTCGTCCTTCTTCTCGCGTTCCTCTCGTTCTAGCTGTCGCTGCTTCATCAGCTCTTCCAGCCTGCGAAGGGGGGGAGGGGGGCGGTGAACAAGCAAGGCTTAACATTCGGGCCAGTACAGACAGCGACCCCCCACCCCCAACACCCTCCGAAACCCCACCCCTCTCCAAACAACCACAAGACAAGATGGCAGCCGCGCGATAGAAAATTTCCCGCTTCCTGCACAGCTTCTTCCCCACCTCTGCCCATCTCTGAAGCTTCATGCTCGAGCAGGGACTGCATTTCCTTCGTGCAGGAAGGAGTCACCTCTCTAACCTGGCACACAGTGAGATCCCACCAGCCGCTGGCTGTGCCGACCGAAACCCTGGGAGGCACGTTTGGCCATGGGAGTACGGCACCAAATCTGGTGTCCGAGCACCCCAGCGCCACAGGTCAAACTGGTGAGAGAGACTACACCAATTCTGCTTTCGCAGTCGCACACTGAAACATGAGTATGGAGCACGAGTAGGCCGTTTGGCCCCTCGAGTCTCTGCTGCCCGTGGAAATGATCATGGTGGGCCAATCCGATTGTAACCTCCAATCCACACCCATCCACGCACTGCCGTCTCAAAAGGCAAGGAGTCTACTTCCACAGAGATAGCGAGAACTGCTGATGCTGGAGTCAGAGATAACATAGTGTGTGGAGCTGGATGAACACAGCAGGCGAGGGAGCATCAGAGGAGCAGGAAAGCTGATGTTTCAGATCGGGACCCTTCCACTGCCTTTTCAGGAACAGAGTCCCCAAAACAAATCACGATCTGACTGTAAAGATTTCTGTTATCGCTGTTTTAAACAGACGAGCCTCTCCCCTTTCTAGTTCCTCCCACAGGAGGAAACATCACTCTGTTATAGGAAGGATATTACTTAAGCTGGAGAGGGTTCAGAAGAGATTTATCAGCATGTTGCCGGGAATGGAGGGTTTGAGTTATAAGGAGAGGCTGGATAAGCTGGGATTGTTTTTCACCGTAGGAGGTTGAGGGGTGGCCTTATAGAGGTTTAGAAAATCATGAGGGGTCTAGATAAGGTGAATAGCAGCCATCTTTTCCCTAGGGTGGGGGATTACAAGACTAGGGAGCACATTTTTCAGGTGAGAGGGAAATGATTTAAAAAGGACACAAAGGGCAATTTTTTAAAATTACACAGAGGGTGGTTCGTGCAAGGAATGAACTTCCTGAGGAAGTGGCGGATGTGGGTACAGTTACAGCATTTAAAAGACATTTGGATAAGTAGATGAATAGGAAAGGTTTGGAAGGATATGGGCCAGGAGCAGGCAGGCAGGACTAGTTTAGTTTGGGATTACAATAGGAATTTCTTGCCCCAAAACTGAGTGTAGCTCTCGGCTATTTCAGGAGCGGTTCAGGGTTGACATGCATCACTGTGGGGTCACATGTAGACCAGATCGGGGAAGGAAGGCAGATTTCCTCCCCCTCAATGGACATTAGTGAACCAAAGGGGGTGGGGGTTTAAGGTAATTGACAGGGCTCGCCCACAAATTCGAATCTCGCCAGCTGGGATTTGAAGTGGTGAACCTGACTTCGCCAACAGCGAGCAGTCAAAGGCCCGACAGCGGGGCTTAAACCGCCCACACACCTTGCAGGCCCTGAGCCTCAGCAGCGGGAGACGAGAGGGGCCTGTCGGGGAGGCCAGACAGAAAGTTGGGGAAGCATTGTAAAGGGTGTTGGTGAGACCACACCTGGAGTACGGTGAACGGTTCGTCTCCCGTTATTTGAGAAAAGGACATAATTGCATTGGAGGCAGCTCAGAGAAGGCTCATTTAGCTGATTCGCGGGATGAAGGGGTCTGTGTCAATGAGGAAAGCTAGGATAGGTTGGGCATGCATCCACTGGCGTTTTCAGGAACGAGTGGTGACCGAAATGAGGTGCACACATTTTCGGAGAATGGTCCACAGGCAGGGAGCCAGATTACCTTTTGAGCTGCTCCTTCTTCTCCTCTTCGGAAAGGGAAGTGTTACGTTGGATTTGGCTGGAGTTTTCTGTCGGGAAGAAGCAAAGAAGAGGATTCAGCTCGACATCACAGAGACGCTGCTGCAGCGTCAGTGCGGAATGTCAGGACAGAATTCACCTTTCACAGTAATGAGCTGGAACGGTTAGTCTGTCGGAGAGCACGCCAGACCCCAACCCACCGCTTTAGTAATCACAACGCAACAACACAAGGCCATTCAGCCCCTTCTCAAAGTTGTGTCACAGAAACAGGAGGAGCACAGTGAGACCGTCTCAAAACTCATCTCTTGAGCTGACCCTCGCTCCCCCAGTGCTGACCTTCCGGCAGTGCGGCGCTTCCTCAGCGTCGACCCTCCGACGCTCCCTCAGCACTGACCCTCCGACAGTGCGGCACTCCCTCAGCACTGACCCTCCGACAGTGC